GAGGGAAGAAAGTGATGGAGATTCAGGAAGGATGGGGAAGAAAGTGATGGAGATTCAGGATGGATGGGGGAGAAAGTGATGGAGATTCAGGATGGTTGGGAGTAGAAAGTGAGGGGCCAGGTAAAACATCTACATTCCAGAGCCCAGAGAGCAATTCAAATCTGAAAGGAAACCACAGACTCCACACTGATCCACACCATGGAGAGAGTGTGTCTGGGGTGATGGAGGAGCCCCTGCCCATTTGGCTGAAGCACAGACCAGACTTCCTGTTGCTCTCAGAGTCAGCTTCCACAGAAGGATAGAAAGCTGCTAATCTGGGGATGGTCTTACTGGGACTTCTATCAGGAAGCCTTGTGAGCATCTGACTCCTCCCAAAAGCCAAGAGACATGCTCCTGTACCTGCAATGGCCTTCTCCCCAGCAGTGAGAGCTGTATCTGCCTGCAGGATGGAACTCTCGATGGTGGCCTGTGACTGCAGAAAGCTCTGGAAGACTTCACTTGCCTGCAGAACCAAGAAGGAGCACAGAACCTTGATAAGTCCTGGGAGAGTACCTGTGTGGGTGAACAGAGTCTCCACTACACCTCACTGTTAAAATGCTGTGGCGAAGCCTGCAGACTGCCCATGCTCTTCAGTGGAACTAGATACTTCCTGACCCATGGCTCCCCCAGTCATCCTCGCTAGTGCCACCTGCCTCCACCTGCTCCCAGATCCAGCCTGTCCACATCATGTGCAGATGTGCTCACTGCCACCTATGACGCTTTCAAATAGTGTGTCCCAGTGTAAAACACTGCATAATTGTGTGGGCTTCACTTCCTTCTGCTCTTGCTGGATGTATTCATGGGCGAGTCACTTCACCTGCCTGGGCCTCGTGGTTCAGATGTGTAAACTGTCCACAATAGTGGTGGGCATCACCCAAAGCATTTTAGATAACTGGAGAAAGGTCTAAGGAAAGAACTCACCATCATGTCATTGGCAACAATGGAGTAATATTTCAGCTGTGTTCTTACATTTATTACTACCTCATTGGTGTGGTTTGAAAGAAAATGGCTCCCAAAGAGAATGTCACTATTAGGAGGTGTAGCCTTGTTGGAGCAGGTGTGGTCTTGTTGGAGGAAGTATGTCACTGTGGAGGTGAACTCTGAGGTCTTACATATGTTCAAGATACCACCCAGTGTTTAGTTCACTTCCTATTGCCTGCAATAGAATTTTCCAACACCATGTCTGCCTGCACGCCACCATACCCCCAGCCACCACGTTTCCTGCCATGATGATAATGTACCGAACCTCTGAAACTGTAAGCTGTAAACTGTAAATGTAAACATTTAACCACAATTAAATGTTTTCTTTATTAGAGTTGCTATGGTCATGCTGTCTCTTCACAGCAATAGAAACCCTAACTAAGACACCCATAGGTAGATGTCTGACAGAACCATGAAGTTATCACTCAGAATGAAATCACTTATTTAGTTGACTTTCACATGGATCCATCTTGAGAACTAAGACCTATGTACCTTGTAAATTGCCAGCACTTAGCACCTCAACACCAAAGTGTTATTAATTTGCTATTCTGCCTCTCCTGGAGTTCAGAAGCCCTTCTTCTTTCTTTAGAAGTGGGTGTTTTCAGGTATAAGCAGTAAATAGCAGCCATTAAGAGCTACATGTGGTTACAGGGATGGGCTAAGGGGAGAGCACACTGTAAAGCCCTGGTTTTGGTCCCAGAACCAACACAAAGCTAAAGGTACCATGCTATCATCAGGTTTTCTTCTTCCTCTCAGGCTGTGCTATGAGCTCAGGTTTCACAAGACACCCTTCCCTCTGCTCTGAGATCCTGTGCTCCCTGCTCCTCACCCTCACCCCTGTCCTGTTCTCCCTTCTCCTCACCCTCACCCCTGTCCTGTGCTCCCTTCTCCTCACCCTCACCCCTGTCCTGTGCTCCCTGCTCCTCACCCTCACCCCTGCCCTGTGCTCCCTGCTCCTCACCCTCACCCCTGTCCTG